TTGGTAAAACAGCCAAGTGTGAACGAGCCCTAAGAGTTTTCTGTGTTTATTATAGGTAAGCAGGAGGCTGTTTGACGTGATAAATAGGACAAAATTACTTAACATGTGTCTGGTGGTCAGTAAATGCCGCTGCTACTATTATGCAATCAGACTACTCGCAGCATGAATGTGAATATATATTGCAGGTAAGCGATTTGGCGCTAAGATACAGGGAATGTAATTTCTCTATTGTAATACGGTATTGTTATGCAGAATAGCATATCTACAGAGGTCTAGATATTCAGTATTGCAATTAAAGATGTTTAATAATGCATATGGAAATACTTATTAATGTATATGGAAATGTTTAGTTATGTATAGAGGACCATGATTACAGTTAACATCCGGTCACATGCCATTAAGAGTTTTCTGTGTTTATCACAGCCGTTCCTAATAAAGCACCAGTGGTTTCACCCGACCCATCCTTCGCACAGTGGAATAATTAACCGTACGTGCAACAAAGACAACCCAGCATTAGGTACGAGGGAGGAAAAATATTGAATAAGGGAGAGGGTGAAGCTCTTCTTTAAAGTTGGTGTTAAGTACATTTTGTTTTTATTAACAAACATGTCATACTTACTTGCTCTGTTCAGTGGTTTTGCACAGAGTAGCCCTGATCCTCCTCCTCTTGGGTCCCCCACCAACACTCTTGGTTCCTCCTTTTCTCTGTGTGCCACCATAGGTTGCCGATTCCTATGGTGGTACATGTGCAGGCTCGACCCTGAGCCTGGCTGAGTGCGACTGTTGACAGACACAGTGCTTCGCTTTCTCCCTCACAGGATTTGTTTAACAGCAGCAAGAGCAAATGATTCCCACTGCTGCCTCTGTGCCCAATGAGGAGAGAGAGCAGTGTTGCTTCTCTCAGGCACAGCGCTGGATTGAGCTAAGGCTCCGGTAAGTATTTAGAGGGGGCTAGGGGGACTGAATATAGAATGTTTTTTTACCTTAACCACTAGGGGACCACCCACAGTATATATACTGCGGCAAAGCGGCCCCTGTAGGCAGGATAATGTACTGTATATATATATATATATATGTGATCCTTGTTTACATGCTAGTGGGGTGCACGCGAGGTGCGCGACCGCCCTGCTTGTGGCACCGATTGCAGCCGCGAGAGTCAATCACCGGGTCCTGGTTGGTGATTACCCACTGGGTCTCCGTGATTGCCGGCAGTTACACAGAGCACAGCTGCATTATTTTCAATGCAGCTCTGCTCCCTGTCAGTTCCCAGCACACTGTCCCGGAGAGCAGAGATTAGCTTTCTGGGACAGTGTGAAACAGTGATGTACACCCCCCCAGCCCACTAGTAAAACACCCCCTTCACACAGTTAACCCTTTGATTGCCTAAAATGTTAACCCCTTCCTCCCCAGTGCCATTAGGCAGTGTCAGTGTTATTTTTTTGCACTGATCACTGTATTGATGTCACTGGGGATGTTGGTGACCCCAAGTCAGTTCCCCCCAGTGTCAGAATGGCAGTCCCGCCATAAGTCGCTGATTGCCGCCATAAGTCGCTGATTGCCGCCATAAGTAGCTGATCGCCGCTATTATTAGTATACAAAAAAAAATCCAGCATCTATACCGCCATTTGTAAACAATATAACTTTCACGTAAACCAATTTACACGTATTGGGATTTTTTTTAGCAAATTTGATTTTTACATTTTTTTACTGGATATGTTTAATAGCAAAAAGTTCAAAATATTGTTTTTTTTCTCAAAATTGTTGGGATTTTTTTTTTTAGCGCAAAAAATAAAAACACACAGGCTATCAAAAACCACCAAAAGCCACCACTGGCATACTCCACAAAGACATGCTACAATCAATAATAACAACAATCCCAAAACCTGGTAAAGACCCGCAACTCGTCCAAAATTATAGACCAATCTCCCTACTCAACACAGACATAAAACGTTATGCAGATTACTCCCTTATCTTCCTAACCTAATACACCCAGACCACGCAGGATTCATACCAGGCCGCCAAGCACCCCATGCCACCAGAAGACATATCTCTTCTCCACCATTTAGAACATACCAAACAACCCTCAATACTCATCCTTAGATGCAGAAAAAGCATTTGATCGAATACACTGGCTATTTATGCAATTGACATTACAGAAATTTGGAATTACGGGATGGATGCTAACAGCAATCCTAGCACTATATTCCCTCCCTTTAGCCAGAGTACTAACAGACGGAACATTATCAGAACCTTTTGATATCCCCAATGGTACTAGACAAGGATGCCCACTGTCCCCATCATATTTGCGTTGCTCATTGAACCCCTAGCCTCTAATCTCAGAGATAACCCAGCATTTACTGGCATCAAATACCTTAACACTGAACATAAAATTAGCCTATTTGCAGACGACATCATATTGATGATTACCAACCCAACCAAATCCCTCAAAACAATACGAATGCACCTTCAACAATACTCAATGGTTTCTTATTATAAGCTCAATGAACCAAAATCTTCAATTTAAAACCTCCACACACCACACCATTCCCAAATATTACTTGCTAAACAATTCCCCTTCTCTTGGGAAAAAAATAGCATTCCCTATTTAGGAATCAAACTCACTTCAACAACGGATCAACTATTCTCATCAAACCACAAAACATTACTTGAAACTATACCCCAAGAAATTGCTACCCTACACACCTCAGAACTCTCCAAATTAGGCAGAGTTGCGACCTTGAAAATGTACATCCTACCAAAAATCCTGTACATTTTTCGCACACTCCCCATACCAGTTCCTAACACCTTCCTTTCCAAAATGCAATTGATTCTCTCCAGATTTTTATGGAACTCTAAAAAACCTAGATGCACTACCAATCTCTTAACACGCCCATCTTCCAAAGGAGGTGCGGGCCTTCCACATTTTAAATCCTACTATAACGCGATTCTTCTGGACCAAATATACTTTTGGTGCACCCAACTAGAGAAAAAATTTTGGTCTACAATGGAAACCTTACCCTTCCATACACTTAAACCCCAAAATGTACTCCTAATTCCTACGATGCTACAGACCAGTTGCCAATTGAAATACCCATGTATCCAGACCGCCCTTCAGGCCTGGCACAGTCTCCTGACCATGGAATACACAGACCCCAAACTAATTTTCACCCCAATTGAAATATTACACTCCATCACACCCTCACTGGACCTAACCCAATAGGAAAAAACGAAACATACACAAAATAACAGACCTCTATAAAGACCACGACCTGCAACCATTTCAAATTCTCCAATCCACGTTCAATTTACCATCCACGGAATACTTCACCTACTTAAGGATTGCCCATTGTATGCAAACAAAAAGTATACCTCACACCACAAAAATCCCTAATACTGCCTACCTTTTCATTACAAACCCACAATACCCAGGTAAAGGTATCTCCACTTTCTACAAAAACATAACAAACATTCAATTCACTTTAAAAACTACTTCCTTTTATCCAACTGGGAAAAAACCCTCTCAGAAACAATTACATCACACGCATGGAGCACAGCATTTAATACCACTTACAAATCATCCCGCTGCAGTTCACACTGGGAAGCATACTTAAAAATCCTCCACCAATGGTATCTAACCCCAGTCAAACTTGCCATGTATTACCCAAAACACTCCGCTTCTTGCTGGCAACAATGCGGAGACATAGGTTCAACACTGCATATATTATGGTCATGCAAATCAATTAAATCCTTTTGGAAACGTGTCTTCCAACTACTCTCTGAAATAACCCAAACAGTGATCAACCCAAACCCTCTACTTGCGCTTTTACATATTGGGATTGAAAAATTCTCCTATACCTCTCGCACCATAATTGTCCACATACTTTTCGCAGCAAAAATCACTATAACCAGATTATGGAACACCACTACTGCCCCTTCTCTCAAATCACTAATTACAGATCTTAATTTCCAATGCGAAATGGAAAAAAGATTGGCCCTCAACAACTCCACTCAACACAAATTTAATTCCCAATGGACTAACTGGTTAAAACATCCCAATTGCTCAGTACAAGCCTGATTTTGTACAAACAATTGAATTACCCATCCATTTTAGACTGGTACTCCTCCCATCATCCCATTATAACTTCCTCCTCCTCTCCCTACCCTCTTCTTGTTCTCCCCATGTTTATACTCCTCAACCATTTCCTACACCTCACCAAAGTTCAGTATATATCCATGTCTACACATGCTCCAATAATGTATTGTATGACTACAATTTTTATTGAACTGAACGTCATTAGTATAACATTACCCTGTTATTGAAATCTTCAATAAAAACATTTTGAAATAAAAACCACCAAAAGAAAGCCCAATTCATGGGGAAAAAGATTATGTAAATTTAATTTTGGGGCAGCGTTGCATGACCATGCAGTTGTCAGTTAAAATGACAAAGCACCATAACACAAACCGCTTTTGTAACCATTTCCTGACCGCCCTATAGCAGAAATACTGCAACATTGCGGCACAGGTGCGCAAAATCCCATATATATACATGATTCGAGCTCCCGTGGTTTTCATGCCCCTCCCAGCTAGCATCTGATTGCCTGTCAGTACACAAGTAATCACATTTGACCCCTTGATTGCCAGGAAGACGCTTATACACAATAACCCTCCATTGCGGAGTCAGAACAGATCAATATGTTTGATCAGATCAGCACTATACCAGCATTCACATTAGTATAGCGTCCCCAAAAATGCAGCATTAGCGGGATCAGCCCTGGCACCTGCGTTTAGCCCCTACGCTTACCCCCCCTTCTCCCCCAGCAAGTGCAGTGCCAGTAGGTCACTGTCACTTGATACATTGCACACAAAACCACAGTGTCCGCAGAATCAGGTCAGATCTCTCTTAGCACTTGCCGGTAAATTTTGATGACTCTCATATGCAGCAGAGTGCCAGTACTAGTGCCACGCTACCATTTGGTGAACTGTCAAGTATTAGTGGCCTAGTACTTCCTTGTCTTTCACATATCTCTTAGATTGTAAGCTCCCAGGATCAGGCCCTCCTAACCCTCTTGTATTGAACTGTATTGTCTCCCGTTATATTGTAAAGTGCTGAGCAAACTGTTGGCACTATATAAATCCTGTATAATAATAATAATACCAGCACTGCAGTATGACTTGGCGACATGGCGCGTCCCATAAGTGCAGTACAAGCTGGTGCGGTGGCGAGCACAAGTATTGTCCCACAACCACCAAGAATTCTCACACAGGCCCTTAGAGCCCCTAGTATCCTTCCGATTGGCAACCCACAAATTCTGCAGGACCCGTACTTCCCCCATTCACTGCCCAACTCGGAATTCAGGTGGAAATCGCAAATTTAACTACTCCCCTTGATTTTTTGGAGCTGTTTTTCCATGGAAGATCTGTATGCATTGATTGTGGATCAAAGCAATTTATATACACAACAATTTATCGCCGCCAACCCAAATTCAAACCTTGCCAGACCATTCGCATGGAAACTCATTACGGTTTCTGAATTTAAATTTTTTGGGGGCCTAACCCTCAACATGGGCATTACTAAAAAAAAATGAATTGCAGTTGTATTGGTCCACAGACCCGATTCATCATATGCCCGTGTTCTCTGCTGCCATGGCCAGGCATAGATATGAGAGTATAATGGGTTTTATGCATTTCAACAACAATACAATCTGTCGTCCTCGGGGTGACCCTGAATTTGACTGGCTCCACAAAATTCAGCCCCTCACAAATCACCTTAACCAAAAATTTGCAGATGTCTATAGTCCCCAGCAAATGTCCCCAGCCAGTGTTTCTACCAGCTGACCATAGAGCTGATTGGAGACCAGAATGGTGTCAATCATCTCTATAGCCTAAGAAATCGGAAGCTACGAGCATTTCATCCCTTCAGTTTCACAGGATATAAACAGCAGCATTTGTAAATTGGGAAAGCATCTGATCACACACCGATCTTGGTTTGATTAGATAATGTAAGGGCAGAGGAGATATCTAGAGTCTGATAGAACCCAGATTTCTCAAAAAAAAATATATGACAATGCCCATTGAACTTATAGAAGATATTTGCATTCCCTGTGATAGCATTAAAAGTGATCAAAAAAAAATTAAAAGGGACAGTGTAAAAATAATTAAAAAATCAAAATAACCTGAACAAAAAAAAAAAGTATCCTCACCCCCCCCGCGCACGAGCGCATCTGTGTTCGTGAGCGTTGACCCCGTGCCAGTATGGAAACAGTGGTTGCACCATGCATGTGAGGTATCGCCGTGAACGTCAGATCAAGGGCAGTAATTCTAAACACTAGACCTCCTCTGTAAATCTAAAATGGTAGCTTGTAAATGCTTTTAAAATGCTGCCTATGGATATTAAAAACGTATGCAGTTTGTCGCCATTGCACGCAGCATGCACAGTTTTAAAGCATGTCATGTTTGGTATCTAATTATTCGGCATACCATCATCTTTTATATTTTTACTAAATAATTGGCCAATATTTTGTGTTTTTGTGCATTAAAAGTAAAAAAAGTGTATTTTTTTTTAGAAAAAATTGCGTTTGAAAAATCACTGTGATAGTACTATGTGACATAAAAATTGCAGCACCTACCATTTTATTCACTAGAGTGTTTGCTTTAAAAAACTATATAATGTTTGGGGTTTAAATTAATTTCCTAGCAAAAAATACAGATTTTTTTCATGTGAACAAAAAGTGTCAGAAAAGGCTTGGTCTTCAGGTGGTTAGAAGAGTGAGTGATGTGTGGCATAAACTTCTAATGCTGGGCATAAAATGCCCCCACCCCCCCCAAAACAACCCCTTTTTGGAAAGTAGACACCCCAAACTATTTGCTGAGAGGCATGTTGAATCAATAGAAGAATTTCTTTTTTTACCACAAGTTTTTGGAAAATGACAAAAAAAATTGTATTTTTTGTACACAAAATTGTTATTTATTGCTCACACATGCCATGGGTATATGTGGAATTACTCCCAAAAATACATTCTGCTACTACTTCTTCCGAGTATGGGGGTACCACATGTGAGAGACGTTTTGGCAGTCTAGCCAAGTATAGGACCCCAAAATCCAATAAGCACCATCAGGCTTTTAAGGGGCTTTAATTCCTCATTACACTTCCTGACTACCTATCACAGTTTCGGAGGCCCTGAAATGCCAGGATAGCACCAAACCGCCCCCCACATAACCACTTTTTGGAAAGTAGACACCCCCAAGGAATTTGATAAGAAGCATAGTGAGTATTTTGCAGATCTTGTTTGTTGCCACAAGTTTTTGAAAATTGAAGAAGAAAAACAAAAACATATTTTTTCTTTTTTTTATTTATATAAATTTCAAAACCTTGTGAGAAAAAATTAGATCTGACAAATACTCACCACGACTCTTTTTAAATTCCTTGGGGTGTCTACTTTCCAAAAAGGGGTCATTTGGGGGGGGGGGGGTTGGTGCTATCCTGGCATTTCAGGGCCTTCAAAACTGTGATAGGTAGTGAGGAAGTGAAATGAGGAACTTACGCACCTTCAGGCTTTCAAAGTGGTCATTGGATTTCAGGCTCCTGTTCGTGGCTAGGCTCCCAAAAAGTCTCACACGTGCCGTACCTCCATACTCGGTAGAAGTAGCAGAATGTATTTTGGGGTGTAATTCTACATATACCTATGGCTTGTGTGAGAAATATATAATTTAAATGACAACTTTGTGTAAAAAAAAAAAAAAGTTTTTATCATTTTCCAGAAACTTGTGGAGAAAAAATTAATCTTCCATGGATTCAATATGCCTCTCAGCAGATAGATTAGGATGTCTGCTTTCTGAAAAGGGGTCATTTGGGGGTGTTTGTACTATCCTGGTATTTTAGCACCTCAAGAAATGTGATGGGCAATCAGAAAGTAAAAGCTGTGTAAACTCCATTATCTATACAATAGTTTTTAGATGCTACAAATTTCACACAAAGCAATCAATATACACTTATTGGATTTTTTTTTAACCAAAAGCATATAGCAGAATACATTTTGGCCTAAATTTTTGATGAAATTTTAGGTTTTTTGGATATTTTTTATCACAGAAATTAGAAAATATAGTTTTTTTTCAAAAAAAATTTTTTCTCAAAAATGTTCTTGTTTATAGCGCCAAAAATAAAAAGCACACAGGTGATCAAATACCACCAAAAGAAAGCTTTATTTGTGCGAAAAAAAAGGACATAAATTTCATTTATGTACCATATTGCATGACCACGCAACTGTCAGTTATACTAGTGCAGCTCTGTATAGCAAAAAAATGGCATAAATTACAGTATCTATACCATAGATTGTAGACGCTATACAGTTCACACAAAGCAATCAATATACACTTACTGGGATTTTTTTTTACCAAAAATGTAGCAGAATACATTTTGGCATAAATTTATAACTAATTTTGAGTTTACTATACATTTTTTATAGCTGAAAGTAAAAAATATCATTTTTCTTCAAGATTTTCGTATTTTTTTGTTTATAGCGCAAAAAATAAAAAAGCGCACGGGCGATCAAATACCACCAAAAGAAAGCTCTATTTGTGTGAAAAAAAGGACATAAATTTCGTTTGGGTACAACATTGCATGACCGCGCAATTATCAGTTGAATTAGTGCAGCGCCGAGTAGCAAAAAGAGGCCCGTTCATTAAGGGGTTAAATCCTCTAGAGGGCAAGTGGTTAACGCAGAGAATGCATTACAATAACAAAACAGAAAAAATATAAAACATAAGCCTTTACAAGCACTTTAAGCCATACATGACATACTGGCCCATTCTTTCTGAATTAGCTGAAATTCAAACCCTGGATGCCCCTTTCAGAGCCACCCAGCTTGACAAAGTTTGACTGAATATATTGTGTGAAGAAACTGGATGGTAAATCATCAGCTATGCTATCAGATATAGTCACTGCTTGAGCATTCTGACAGCCTTGGTTGTCAGCAACTGTTAGAACACAATAGCCAGCAGAGGAGATTCCTCTATCCATTTTTGTTTTGCATGGATGGAGAAATTAAAGCGTGTATCTTTACTTTCTGCTGGTACCTACTGATTTAATCAATGTAATACATAATGGACTTCAGGCTTCAATCATGCTATCATCACACAACCTAGTTTTATCAATACAAACTGTCAAATTAAAAGATATAAGGCAATCAGTCCAAATTTGCTCATATGTGCTCATAATGCAGCATTGAAGCAGATTAGTCCTATATGGTACAAAACACAGAAACATAAATTGCAGCTGAATTAAAAAAAAAAAAAAGCTCCTGACCATATGCTTGGTTTTTAGCTGTAGTCAAGTTAATCATATGCACTATAATTCCTCAGGAGGCAACAGCCATGTCATAAGGGAACTTTTATACACTGCTCAAAAAAAATTATACGAACACTTTGAAAACACATCAGATCTCAATGAGGAAAAATATCATGCTGGATATCTATACTGATATTGAGTAATGTGTTAGGAACGTAAGGATGCCCCATCGTTTGATGAAAATGAAAATTAGCAACCTACAGAGGAGTGAATTCAAAGACACCCCGAAAATCAAAGTGAAAAAATGATACATCAGGCTAGTTTATTTTTACTGAAATTTCATTGCAGCAACTCAAAATGGTACTCAGTAGTTTGTATGGCCCCCATGTGCTTGCATGCATGCCTGCCTGCCAACGTCGGGGCATGCTCCTAATGAGATGACAGATGGTGTCCTGAGGTATTTCCTCCCAGGTCTGGACCAGGGCATCACTGAGCTCCTGGACAGTCTGAGGTGCAACCTGTCAACATCGGATGGACTGAAACCATGGCCAGATCTAGTGGGGTGCTGGGATGGGCTATAACCCCCCCCCCCAAAATTTCAGCTGTGCCTCCCCCAGGCAGACTTTATCTAGGAGACGCTGTCTGCAGTGGCTCACATAGTCCAGACAGCCCACTCCCCTCTCCTCTTCCCTGTACTTGCAGAAGAGAGGATGTACACTGCCTCCTGCCACCCTTCTCCTCCTGTCTGCCCCGCCCACACTCCATCTCCTAACCATTGCTGAGCCTCAGAAGATGTGTGTGGGCAGGAAATGTCAAGCACTGCAGCCAACAACTACATCTTGGCTGCAAAATTGATGTGTCTGCCTGAGCCTGCAGAGACCAACCTGCGTGAGTGAGCTGAGCTCTGAACTATCCCCATTTACCTACTTCTCTCCCCCCTCCATCTCCCTCCTTCTTCCCTCCCCCTCCATCTCCCTCCTTCTCTTCCCCCCCTCCATCTCCCTCCTTCTCTCCCCCCCTCCATCTCCCTCCCTCTCTCCCCTCCATCTCTCCTCCCCTTCCTCTCTCCCCCTCCTCCTTCTCTCCCCTCCAATTCCCTCCTTCTTCTCTCCACTCCTTTATCTCTCTCCTTCTTCTCCCCCCCCCCCTCCATCTCCCTCCTTCTTCTCCCCCCCCTCCATCTCCCTCCATCTCTCCCCTCCATCTCCATCCTTCTTCTCTCCCTTCCATCTCCCCCCTTCTTCTCTTCCCCTTCAATCTCCCTCCTTCTCTCTCCCCCTTCAATCTCCCTCCATCTTCTCT